ATGCACCTTTTCGCATGAATATCAACTTTACCTAAAGGGCTGCAATATCGCCCTTTTCCCGGCGCCGAAATGCCACCAATCGATCGCCTGGTCGTCGCCGAGTAATTAAAGTAAAACGCAGGTAAACGCACGTGCTAACTCGCCCGCCGTTCACTCACTTGGCGCGGGCGGAAGACTGGAAACTGTCGCGCTGCGATCGCCGACGGTCAGCGGTATTCCATCCATTTCCCATTCGTTCTTTCGCTGCGGGCAGCAGGGTCGCAAGAGGATCTGGAGTGGGGGTCGCCCCGCAGATGGAGGACGGCACAGGCAGAGGGTCAGGAGGAGGAGACACACCGCGGCTAGATGACAGATCAGAAAAAAGAGCAGCAGTGGCGAGAGACGACGTGCTATGGCGGGTTTTGTGCCGGCGGGGGCAGCGGGTGGCGCGTGCAGGGGAGAAGTCAGCCAAAGCGTGTCTCAGGTCGTTGGCCAAAGGCCGACAGGTAGGAAGAGGGACAGGAAGAGGAGCCGCTCCGCAGCTCCATGACAGATCAGGAGAAAGAGCAGCAGTGGCGAGAGACGACGTGCCATGACCGGTTTCGTGCCGGCGGGGTCAGCAGGTGGCAGGTGTAGAGGAGCAAGCTGACTAAATAGTGTCTCGAGTCGTTGGCCAAAGACTGACAGGTCCTACTTGTCTACAATACTATTTGTGCAGGGTGCGTCTATCTGTCTGTTTGTCTGTGGGTCGTCTTTTGACGTTGACTCGGGTGGAGGTCAAACGGTGGGTCGATTCAACGTGAAATTTTGACACGATGCACATGCGCAAGTGACGACCTGTTGAGGAGAGTTTCGTAGCGGTCAGGTCGACGGGTCGCGCGTGGCGCGTGTTGCAAAGGGCTTTTTTGGCCCACTTGTTACGTGGGCGGCTCGAAAAAGCGACCTCGATAAAAACCGACGATCGGCCGTTCGAAACCGCGGCGGCATCTCGGCAACCGCCGGTCGGGGCGACGGGAAATCAACACCACTCGACAGACAATTGAACAAGGAATGGCGTGATATGGCGTGTGACGCTGCGCGTGCCACGTGTCACGTGTGCAACTGCGGTAAAGACGGATTTTCCCGTTTTCGACCCTTTTTCACGTTTAACGCCACATCTCGGCAACCAGAGCGGGCGGGGGCGTAAGTCCAGTTTCAAAGCGTTGATACGCGTACCAGCTTCATTTTACGTGCCCAACACAAGAGTGTGCGACGCACTGTTTCGCCGGAATTCATCGCGCGAGCCGGACATGTCGGGATTTGGAAAAACGCGGCCAAATACGACACGCTGTCGTCGAAACCGTCGCCACGATCGCAGCGAAATTTACATCACCGCATGCGCGGGTTCACTGGCTCCAAATACCACCCTTTTTTAATCGCGTTATGCACTTTTTTGCTTGAATATGAAGTTTACCTTAAGGGCCACAATATCGCATTTTTCGCGGCGCCGAAATGCCACCGATCGATCGTCTGGTCGTTGTCGCCGAGTAATCAAGTAAAACGCAGGTAAACGCCCGTGTTAATTGACCTGCCGTTCATTCACTTGGCGCGGGTGGAAGACTGGAAATTGTCGCGCTGCGATCGCCGACGGTCAGTGGTATTCTAGTCATTTTCCGTTCGCTCTTTCGGTGCCGGCGACAGAGTCGGAAGAGGATCTGGAGTGGAGGTCGCCCCGCAGATGGAGGACGACACAGGCAGCAGGGACAGTAGAGGGAGCCGCACCGCAGCTCCATGGCAGATCAGGAGAAAGAGCAGCAGTGGCGAGAGACGACGTGCCATGACCGGTTTCGTGCCGGCGGGGTCAGCAGGTGGCGCGTGTAGAGGAGCAAGCTGGCCAAAGGGTGCCTGGGGTCGTTGGCCAAAGGCCGACAAGTCTTGTTTGTTTTATACTGCTTGGTATGTAAAGTGAATTTCGACTGAAAAATATGTGAAAAGCGCTGATCTGAGGGGCGATGGAAAAGCGCTGTCACCACTGATCCGTGACGTCAGCGCTGATATAAGATAATTTGTAGCGTGCTTCTGGCACTTGCTAAATGCTATTGTGCTTAAAGCTAAAATGTTTGACAGCATTTTATGGCTCAGTCTACTCCTACAGCCAAGCGTTAACATTTCGACATGTGCCTACGCTGCAAGCATTACCGAGTACAGACCATTACTATGCTTTGAGTTTCGTCGAGCGGGGATAATCTGTCGTAAGGTCTTGTCTGTTGAAATTTGTTTTCCTTTTTCAATAGTGTCGCCAATTAGTTTACAAAAGTGCCAGTTTTTGTCACCGACCAAATCCGGTAAATTAGAGTATTTTTCCACCCCTGCGGCGACGACACAGAAGATCGGTAGCGCTGACACGGATCGCGGATGATACTGTGCCAAGGCAAGGTTAGCCAGGACACCAGGTTTGCTCAAAACATGAACAGCCAACAAAACTTTGTTGGCTGAAACGGAACAACCTATCAAATAAAGGCGTGCACTAGGCACCGATCTAACTCAGCGCATCCTTTGGTGCCTGGAATTGGCGGAAATATGATCGGTACTCATGTTTAAAATGCTGTCGTTCTTCGTCATGGTTTTATGTTTTTGCGAGAAAGCATCTATTTAGACTTAGGCGTTAAGTTTGGCCTCCTCTTTAAAACATCTTGACGCACAAGCTCTTCAACTATATTCAGGACATGATACACATCTGCGCAAATAATTCTTTCGGTAAAGATTAAAATACGAGAAATATTATTCACATGGATTCAGGAAACACGAGGAGCATTGTTGACATGTTAATGAAGAGCATTATTCACATGGATAAGACAGTAGTATTAGTCTTATTCCTCGGAGAAGAACTGGGAGAATGGATATATATCTGGGTTGATATTTCGGCAGCATGCCTTTATCGAATAAATACCAGAAGTGAATTAAAAACTTGCCTGACGATGATCCTACTCGATTTTTCATATTTTTCTTTTGAAACAGCAGTTCGCAGTTTTTACATGACACCCACACTCAGGTTATTAAACAAAGAGCGATTGTCAGCCACGAATCGCTCTTTCTTTGATCCCCTGAGTGTTGATGTCCTGTAAAAGCTGTGCCTTGCTGCTTCAAAAAGAGTCTGAAAAATCGAGTAGAATAAACGGCAGGCAATTTCGAGTTCACTTCTGGTATTGCTCCGATAAAGGCATGATGTCGAAATATCAACCCAACTATATCTCCATTCCCTGATTTTTCTCCGAGGAATAAGGTTAATACTACCGTCTTATCTATACAAATAATCCAGCGTGGTTTGACAGCTTCCGTCGGAACATGCGCACAAAGGTCCTGCTGTTCTATTGCCCTAAGTTTGGTCAGGACGGAAGAGCGGTGCCCATGTATGCATTAAACTATGATAATTATTCAGGTCGTCAAGGTCAATGACGCTGCTTCGTGCTTTGTTGAAAATACGTCACCGCGCTGGCCACATTTTTTACTTCTCCAACCGCCAAAGGATAAAATCATTTTGTAGCGACCACTCATTAGCTGCAACGTGTTTGTCTTTACCTTTCAAAAGTGCTAAAAAAAAATGTACTGTACAATCGTGATCACTTCGGTGCTTGTCCTTATGTTTCAGACACGGATGTCGATTTGTATTCTTTTGTAAGGGCCCTGGCCTTCCCGGTGCTGAGTTGCTCCCCCCCCCCCCCCCAATGTTGGTTCGCCCCCCCCCCCCGAATGTTTTTGGCTGGAATACTCCAAAAACGTGGGTAAAAGATGATTATTACACACATGCTATCTTCTTTGATCTTTCTGCGTAGTGGCGTCCGCACCACTCTCATAACGAGAAATCATGGCTGCTCTCACGACGGGATACAAATTGTAACAGCTGAGCATACACGATGCAGAACACGCGATGCAAACGGCATAACCGTTATTACTGTATAATATTGTATAGCAAAACTTAACATAACTGCTAGCGCTATGTTAATGCACGATGCAAACAGCATAGCAGCATACACGATGCAATAGACTTCACGTGCCTAGCGCCAATAAGGCACGCAGTGGTTTGTGAGGTTAGCGTGAAAAGCTTTGGAGTGTGGGGATGACCTAAATTCTTCATGGTTAACCATGTCCCCGTCTCCCACAACAAAAATGCGTGCCGCCTCTCATGACGGTCATAGAAGAGCGCCATCAGCGCCCTAAGGTGGCCTGTAAAGGAGCGCCTTCACGTGCCGATCAGAAGAGACGCGGGCGTCCAGTGTCTGCTCCCTGGATCCAACCCTCCATGACTTCTATACCGCTTAGGCTAAATATTTATAATTCATACAAATGTTGAAAACACGTCTTGCACTTAATTAAAATTGAAGTGGGCTAGGTCCGTTAAGAACAAAAGTGTAGATAAGAACAAAAGTGTAAAAATGCAAATACTTGGGTTGTTGGGCCTTCGGCTCGTCCCCCCCCCCCCCCGCCCCCGGATAATTTAAGAAAATTGACACCCCTGGTTTCAGAAGTAAACCTAAAGTTGTGTCCGATATCGGAAAGGTGTTAAACCACTGTAACATGTATCAGCGTTTTAAGTGACATTGGCGTCGCAGATTACGCCAGTGAGGCTGGTAACATCAGTGCGCTCCTCTCGTAAATCAAATGATTAACCTACTGCGCACGTTTTGGCTACAGAAATAGGGTCTGGTACCACGTTAAGTGATTTATGAAGGCGGATCACACATCACCAGGTTGTGATCGCTGACCATCCAGCTCGTCACGCAGGTAGCAGCCACGTACCACAGCATCGTGATCGCATGGATCGTTGCTGCAAAGCAGCTGTTCTATTCCGTTCACGGATTGAAAAGACTTTCTGGTTTTTTAAAATTTCTTTTACGTCGGAAGCGGGCAGGTACAACGGAAGTGGGCGTCCAGACAACAGTAAGTGCAGCCTCGGCGTGCTATCGGCAATGCTGTGGAGCTTGTGACAATGGCCGTGCGTGACACCGATCCCAAAGCGATGAACCTGACGACAAAACGCACACTTCAAGTCTCGACGCTTTTCAAAGCCGTGCATATATTTTGTAAAACACAATGCTATGTACAAGTGTCGCAGCGTCCGAAGCTATACCTTGCAACAGGTTAATGTCAATGGCCCGTCGCGAGGAAGTTTACCGGGAAGTGATATGTAGGCTGTAAGCCAGGGCATAGTTAACACGCTTCTCAGTAAAATGCACCAAAAATGTAAACGCTGTAAGTCAGGGCATAGGTAACACGCTTCTCAAAAATGCTCAGAAAATATAAGTGTGCACTCACTTTAAGACATTTAACGGACGCCTGGAAAATATGTAAAAGTAGCGTCCTGAACCACTGCATTGCATCGCGATGCGCATGCATGCGTTTGGCAATCACATACTACAGCAGCGCCTCTTCCGACCGTTGTGGTAACCATCAGTTACGGTGGTGGCGCTGGGCGCGCCCAGTCGGGCCGCACGCTGCAGGGAGCCTCGCCGGTCACAGTTCTGACGTCGTCGATGGCGAAGCCGGCCTGCATGCCAATCGCCTGGATCTCGAGCCGCGCCGCGCGCTCCGCGGCCTGCACGGCGACCTGGCCGTAGTGCCAGGTGTAGCGGCGCCCGGTGTGGCCGCTCCGGCCCTGCGTCACCTGCCAGAGCACCTCCGCCGTGCCGTTGTCGCCGCCCTGCCGGCGCACCGAGAGCGACGCGTCGTCCTGCACGCCGCCGATGCAGGTGTACCAGAGGCTGAGACAGAGCCGCTGGCCGGCCGGCACCTCGGCCGACACCAGGCGCGCCGTCGCGCGCTGGTTGAACGGGTCGAAGTACTCGTAGCCGGTCTCGACGCGATGGGTGTGGTCGAGCAGCTGCGGCACGCCGTAGCCGGTGGCGGCGGCGCGCCAACTCTCGCCCTCAGCCGCCGCCACCGTCCAGCCGCACTCGTCGACGTCGAACCAGCAGTCGAGCGGCGAGACGGCGGCGGCAGCCGGCAGCGTGGCGCAGTCGCCGTCGTGTATCACCACGTCGTCGACGCCGAGCACGCCGCTCACGCCTGAGCCACGCACGGCCTCCAGCGCCAGCCGGACCGGCGCCGACGCCGAGAACGCCGCCTGCGCGCGCACCCAGCCGTGCCTCAGGTGGTTGTCCACCCGCCAGAGTGGCGCGCTGGCGTTGTTGGAGGCGTTGACGAGAATCACCTGCAGGCTGCCCAGGCGCGGCATGGTGGCGATGTGCGACGCCAGGTGCACCCAGAAACTGAAGCACACGCGCGGTCGGTCGCGAACCTCCGGCGAGAGCACGCGGTCGCGCGCGCCCGCCTGGTGCTCGTAGCCGGACACGGCAAAGCTGAGGAAGTGGTCGGGCGGCTGGAGGGCGGGAGAGCCCAGCGTCGTATGGCCGCCGGCGGCGCGTGTCCACAGCCGCGGCCGGGCGCCGCCCAGCGTCCACCCGCACGTGTCGTCGCGGAAGGCACAGCTGGCGTCGCCGTCGCCGCCGGCCGACGCCGGCAGCGTCGGGCACGCCCCCGCCTCCACGCGGAGCGAGTCGACGGCGATGTCGCCGGCGCCCGGCTCGCCGACGGTCGCCTCCAGCTGCACCTTGAAGCGGTCCGGCGAGGCGAGCGTGACGTGGCCCAGCTCCCAGCTGAGCTGCGAGCCCGATCCGCCGTCCACTTGCCAGAGGGTGCGCGTGCGAGGCGTGCCGCCGCCCGACACCTGCCGCACGGCCAGTCGGCCCACGCCGGCGCCGAACATATTGGTGTAAGAAGCCGAGGCAGAGCGGCTCCACCGTTTCGAACACCGCGCTCTCGAGCCGCGCCTGGTCGCCCGGCCGGCGCGGGTGCGACGAGTCAGCGAACGTGTAGCCGCCAATGCGGCTGTAGGAGCGTGAGCTGCTCTGGTCGCGGATCGGACCTGTCACCTTCTTGCGACTGCCTCGGCCCAGCAGCCAGTCGAAGTCGTCGTCGGCGGCGTTGCTCCAGCGGCAGAGGTCATCCTCGAAGCCGCAGTCGTCGTCGCAGGCACCCTCCGCCAGCGAAACGTCGTCGACGGCGACGTACCCGCGACCGGCCTGCGCCGCCAGCTGCGGCACCACCTCGAACACCAGCCGGTGCTCGTAGCCCGTGTTGTAAGTCACCTTACCCTCGCGCCACGCGCCGTCCGTCGCGTCGCGGGCCTCCCACAACGTCTCCGTCACGTTTTGCTGCCGCATAATGTAGGCGCGGCCCGTGGCGTTGGCGACGGTCGTTTCCGACGCGTTCCGCGCCTCCGCGTACAGCGGCGGCGGCGGCGCCTCGTCGTCGCGCGGCCAGCGGGTGCGGTTCAGGTAGACTGTCGGCACGTGGTCGATGCGCAGCACACGCATGCTGTGTACGCTGGCGCCGGCCGTGTTGTACATGAAGCGGAGGCAGCGGCCGGCCGGGCCGGGCGGCGGCCGCGTCGGCGATGTCAGCCACGCGCTCAGATAAAAGTCGGGAATGTTCACGTCACGGAAGACGGACGCGTCGACGAAGGCGTAGCCGGCGTCGGCGCCCTGCTCGCCGGCGGCGTCGGCGTCCGGACCACCCAAGTAGAAGGCCGTCTGGGGCGAGCCCCGTCGCCAGCTGTAGTGACGGTACGGCGCGCCGTCCGGCCGCCACCAGCACGTCGATTCGGAGAAGTCGCAGTCGGACGACTCGCCGTCCCCCGTCTCGAGCTGCTCGGCCGCCGGCGGTATGGTCCGTCCCTCTGCGGTCGGGGCAGCCGTCGGCTCCGGCGGAGTTGGATCCCCCAGCTGCTGCGCTTCGGTTGTGCTCCCAGCCGTCACCTCCGTGGTCGTCTGCTCACCTCCGGCTTGCACCTCTTCTGACGGAGCATCACCTGTGGTCGGCGCCGGCGGCGGCGGCCCCTCCGTGACCGCGGCGGTCGTCAGGTCGGTGCGGACCTGACCCCCTCCGATCTCCTCCGCCGGCGTCTCCTGTGCCGCCGCCACGCAGGCGCACACGCAGACCACGGCCGCGAGTAGCGCGAGCGCGCGCATGTTGGCGCACCTCTGGTTGGCGGGCCACTGCTGGCCCGTCAGCACGGTGTGGCGCCAGCCGCAGCAGGGGCGGTCTTCGGATACGACGCGGTGGGGTGGCACGCCCAGAGGGAGGTGTGCCCAACTTCCCCCCGCTAACCCGCCCTACCGGAACTCCATCCGCCACTCGCTGCCAATGGCCTGACTTTCCGGACGCCTCACACCCACAGACAAGTCTACGCGGCCCCGAAGCTCTGGTCCTCCGCGGTCTTTCGCCGCCCGTGCCGGCTAAAAAGCCTGCCGCACTAGCCCCGGCTGATTGGCGCGCTATTGGTATGGAAATTCTGGCCGGCACGCGCCGCCCGGCCCGGCCGGAGGGCGCGGTCGACCCGGGCGTCACCAGACCGTTGGCGCTGGGGGAAGGGAGCGGCCGCCACCCCGCCCAGCTAGCACGCGCCGCTGCTGCCGGCAAACCCCATTCACAGGACGAAAATGATCACGTTGATGATGGGTGCCGACTCTGGTTCAGCGATGGGTATTTAGAACGTCCACCGAGCGACGCATGACGTTTTTTCGCAACTGATTCAGCGCCTACAAAAAACAAAAACAGGCTGAATGCCAGCATCGCTCAAGAGCTTCAGTACGCGTGTGTGGGGTGAGAGAGTCACAGCGCCGATAGGTGAGCCGCAGTGCCGAGATAATTGCATCAAAAGCCACATCTTTGGCACGGGCATTTGTCACGTTTATACGCGCAGCGTGCACAAAGCTACCGCACTTTAAAATCTTGCGAGCTGCTGATGGCGCCAAAACGATGAAGCATTCTGCGACGCTGCAAAACAACGCATGTGCAGAGACCGACTATAGAGATAGATGACGTCATGCAAACTCAAGCAATGTTAGAGAGAGTAAGCTTGTAAAATGATCTGCTGGCAACTGTCACGTGGTGAACGCTCTCCTGAGCAGAAGCGACTTAACAGCCAACAAGAGCCGATGTCAGTACCGTCTATTTTGGAAGTAAGTTTGTGCCCACTCTTCTGTTGGAATCATGGCCGTCCATTTCTAGGGTGAGTTGCTGCCCACTCCTTTGTCGGTACCACGACGCTCTATTGCGTTTTCTCGTGTTTCTCCCCACTCCTCTGTTAGTCTATAGCATTGCTCACAGGAGCTCACAGTATCGCTATTCCCGCACCTCGACGCCACCGACTTATAGGTTAGGGGCGCTGTGCTTAGACTCCATTACCGGGCTTATCACGTTTATGAAACAGAGTGGCAGGGTGGTGCATTATGTATTATAAATGTTTGGCTTTGAAGACGTCTACACGTGTACCACGAGTATCATTGGAACAATAATGTTTGCACGCATTTGAACGTCTGTTCTCCACGAGGCATGGGGGTCATTATTCGCGCTCGACAGCAATTGGGTGTATGCTATGTAATCATACCACTCTGCTTCGGTGCAGCCGCATCCACCAACACCGCAGCAAGGCAGCACAGCGAGCCGGTGGCGCTTGCGTGAGAGTTTAGATAACAGACAATCCGCTATAATAAGATACCTGACATGGACGACATGGTTGATAAAAGTTTCGCAACAACATCGCAGGCTTAACAGTACTTACAGCTCATTGGACCGCGTGTCTGTGGAGAAGCTTAAGCGCGGTTGACTAGGTTCCCAGTGGAACTTCCCTACTACGACAGCGTGCTTTTGGCCCGATATGTAATCCATCAAAAATATATACTACTGGGACGTGCGTGATCGGTGCTGGCAGCGACGCACGGACGCTGAGGGTGTGCTGTCGGCACACAGCACCAGGCGATACCAGTAGATAATGCATAAATGCCGCTGGTTGGAAAACATGCCAGCACGACCGTCATGAAAAGTACCACACATGTAAGGCTATTGCTTCGTCCTGCGATGCTGGTTGGCGGCTACGCTTCCGCCCCGGGTTCACCCCAGATCCCCCTAATCCGTGCCCAGCCCGCTCTGGGGCTGTTCCCATACCATTCCCGCGCTGTCTTTTTGCCGTCCCAAGGCAGTCCTCAGACCTTCCAGCGCTGTCCCCAGGCGAACACCAGGCTGCCACCAGCTGGTCACTGGCCTCAACAGGCCGTCGCCGGGCTGACCACGGGCTGACCCCGGATTGTCTTGCTCGCTGACCTCCCCGGCGGATTGGCCGGGTGGCCGTGGGCGGTCACCTCAGCTGGCGAAGTCGCCGTAGGCTCGTGAGTCACGCCGGCTGCAGGGCGCCGAGATTCTCCAGGAGGCACGGGAGTCGGTCTCGCGGCTCGAGGAGCGGCGGCTGGCCGGCGGCTGCGTCAGCTCACGCTCCTTCTTCAGCCTGCGGACACATACGGCCAGCGGAGACCGATAAACAACCCGCCAAAGCCGGCCGAGAGATACGCTGACTTACTGCAGATCATGTCTCAATAGCATACATGGTGCCTACTTGGACAAGCTATCATAGCCTACGCAAACGGAGATACAGCAGACTTCAATGTTGGCAGATTTAGTCTGTTCAGTCGTCCAATAGATTATGCAAGCTGAACAACAGTGGTGCCGACACTCCTCCAGTCCTAAACCCCTCACGTCAGCCTACGACGGGGCGATGTCAACAGGCGCAGGTGGGCCTGCGACGCACCTGGACAAAACCCTTTCACCTGCGACGCACCTGGACAAAACCCTTTCACCTGCGACGCACCTGGACAAAACCCTTTCACCTGCCGAGACCGATCACAAACAACAAAGGGGTTTCTGACCTCCGGGACTTCCGGGAGAGCTGCCGAAGCATCGCTGCCGCAAATTTGGAAATGTGCTCGATGCCAAGTCAAACACCACACCTTTGCTGAATGTTAATACTTAATCAAGAATCATTGAAAGTAATATTTCGGCATGCCTTTTGCAAGGTGTTTATATTACGGTAGCGTGACTACGTTTTGTCTTCGTCATGCTCATTTCGATTAATACTTGGCAAAGTCAGATTGGAGCACCGCACTAAAACTTACCCTTGAAGGCTAGGGCAATAATATACTTTATCAAATCATTTCTAAGACGAATTTTAATGCATATTTTACGAGAGATTCAAAAGTTTGGTGTTATTTTACGACCATCCGCGGCTGCAGCACTTCTCCAGCCGCTCGCGCTGCCCAGCCATGTACCTCGTTGTTCCGTACAGCCGCTGATACTCACCAGCATCGTCCGCGCACATCTATGTACATCATCTACCCCTTCCTGGTCCACGTTAGCTTACTCATACCTTAAAAATCTCGGGTTTGCACATCCATCGCGTGAGCTGATTACTGGGCTTCCTTTACACCTGTTTCTAACACATACGTACGCCTCGATTATTGTCCTTAAATGCACATCCCGACCTCAGATGCAAACATGTCTCGCCCACACATGACCGTCTGGTATGCACATGATTGCCTCACCTGGACATTCCAGTATAACTTGCACATCTTGACTTATTTGTGCATACATCTCTAGCTCTCATCCGCACATCCGGGATATCTTGTACATCCCTGCCTCGCCTGTATATCTCGGCCTAACCTGCACATTTCGGTATAACCCGTACATCTGTGCCTAACCTGTGCATTTTAGCCTTATCTCTACAATTTTGTATAACCTGTACTCCTCTGTCTCACCTTTACACTTAGGTCTAATCCGTACATCGCGGTATAACCGTGCACCCCGGTCTGACCTGCACACCCCAGTCTGACCTGCACACCCCGGTCTGACCTGCACACCCCGGTCTGACCTGCACACCCCGGTCTGACCTGCACACCCCGGTCTGACCTGCACACCGCGGTCTGACCTGCACACCCCCGTCTGACCTGCACACCCCGTCTGACCTGCACACCCCGGTCTGACCTGCACACCCCGGTCTGACCTGCACACCCCGAGTCTGACCTGCACACCCCGGTCTGACCTGCACACCCCCGGTCTGACCTGCACACCCCGGTTGACCTGCACACCCCGTCTGTACCTGCACACCGCGGTCTGACCCTGCAACACAGCGGTCTGACCTGCACACCCCGTCTGACCTGCACACCCCGGTCTGACCTGCACACCCCGGTCTGACCTGCACACCGCGGTCTGAACCGCACACCCCGGTCTGACCTGCACACCGCGGTCTGACCTGCACACCCCGGTCTGACCTGCACACCCCGGTCTGACCTGCACACCCCTGGTCTGACCTGCACACCCCGGTCTGACCTGCACACCCCGGTCTGACCTGCACACCCCGGTCTGACCTGCACACCCGGTCTGGCCTGCACACCCCGGTCTGACCCGCACATACCGCCCTATGTCATGCACATGTGCATGCCATATGTGCATGTAAATGCATATTTCAGCCTCACCTGTACATCTCGGCCTCGAACTGCGCTTCTCGGGCGAGCATCCTCTCCCGGTTGATCTGCACCTTGACGTTCCCAGGGATGTCGGGGATGGCGTACGCCATGACGCCCGTCAGGCCGATCACCACGTGCTGCCGACCGGACAGACAACAGCGGTGAAGTCGCCACAGTCAGTGCGTGTGGCGGTGTACGGTGCGAAGGCGAACATCGCTGTTCTCTGCTGGCCGCAGCTCCTTTCCGGCCACAGCTCCTGGCAGTTGCAGCGCTTATTCCGGGAAGGCTTGATGCTGACGACGGGCTGAGCAGATTCATTAAACACTGGGTTCACCTGCAAGGTGGACTCTGAGCATCTCAGCTCAAGCATTCAGACTGCATGCACTAACTCTGAGCTTCAAGTAAAACGCCGGAACCGCTTAAATTAGCCATGCTTTGATGGCTCATGCATTGTTGTATGTGGTGGTGTTCGCTGGATGCTCAGGCTCGACGACATCGTACCAGTGACGTTCATTTCGCCACCAATCATTCGCGACCGAAGCTGTCTACTGCACAGCTGCGCAAAAGCACAGCATGACCTTGCGAGGCACCAAACACCCACCTCGAAGATGGCGACGAAGGCGAGCCGCGCGCCGAACACGTGCCAGTACATCATGTTGGTCTCGTACGGATGCTCCGAGTCAGGCGGCGTGCGGAAGCCCCGGTACCGGCACGTCTCGAACTTGCGGTCGTCAATCTGAGGGTCCGGTGCGTAGCCCGGCGGGAAGTCGGACGTGTTGAACACTGCAGAGCGAGGGACGGCCGGTCAGACATGCGCGGGGGTGGGGCGGGCTGAACACCGGCAGGGGAGGGACGGCTAATGAGGCATGCGCGGGGATGTGGCGGGCTGAACACCGGCAGGGAAGGACGGCTGGTCAGACATGCGCGGGGGTGGGGCGGGCTGAACACCGGCAGGGGAGGGACGGCTGGTGAGACATGCGTGGGGATGTGGCGGGCTGAACACCGGCAGGGGAGGGACGGCTGGTGAGACATGCGCGGGGTTGTGGCGGGCTGGACACCGGCAGGGGAGTGACGGCTGGTGAGGCATGCGCGGGGATGTGGCGGGCTAAACACCGGCAGGGGAGGGACGGCTAGTGAAGCATGCGCGGGGATGTTGCGGGCTGAACACCGGCAGGGAAGGACGGCTGGTCAGACATGCGCGGGGGTGTGGCGGGCTGAACACCGGCAGGGGAGGGACGGCTGGTGAGGCCCCATGTGCGGCGGCGGCGGTGGTGGTTCAGGGTAAGACAGCGCGGTCTGTGGTCCTTGCCGTGTGGTGATCAGCCCCGTGACGGCTGGGAGACCCATGTGCGGCGGAGGTGAGGTGCGCGCCGGTGGTGAGGCTCGTGAGAGTCTGACACAGAGCACTGACACCGAAACAGACGGAACAGACTCAAGTGGGCGACGGCGTCCTTGGATGGGTCACTCAGCCACTGAAAAGCCTGCCATGGGGACGGGCCGATCCATGTCTCCGAGCTCATGGGCTCTGGGATGCACTGACCGGACAGCGTGCCGTTGATGTAGCCGTCCAGGGTGCCCGACTCGCTGTACTTGTACCAGTACACTAGACGTGGTATGAAGTCGCTCGTGAACGCGATCACCAACGCCTGCCGACCAACGAGGTTTTCCACAACCGATTGTGACGTCACGGAAGTACGGAAACGCTGAAAACTCAGCGCAATTCACGGCAACTAATACGACGCAGTGCAATCACCGTCCATGGCATATCCATTAAGCTAAATACAATGTATGGGCGGTCCACTGAATGCTTTGTACATGTTTTAAGTAAATATTTATGCTTCATATTTTAACCGTTCTCACAAGAATAATAGAGTAATAGCATATGCAAAAATCCTACGTTTCTTGCAAAATCATGCACGACACTTTATATTTGTTGCCGTTTGCTTATATTTTAGGTAGCCTTCGCAGCCCACTTCCTGTCTCCAACCACTTAACTAATACAGAGGATCGTTTTGCTACGCTTACAAAGATACCAGTTCGTGAAGCTGTTAGTGTGAGGCTCATTGCATGCTTTTTGTTTTAATTTTCGTTTATGTTTTAGTTTTAGTCTTTGATTCAGTTCTAATTCCCCCTAAGTCTTGGCGGATGGCTTACGTTGAAGGTGACGGCCAGGTAGGTGATGCCTCGGAGGATGCCGTACCAGGCGCCGATGTCCTGCACACGCTGGGCCAACGGTCGTCGCACCTGCGTCACGTACTTGTAGGCGTCCAGCCGGATCTCCCCGATGTTGTTGATCAGCGCAAAGAACGGCGCCAGTGGGAACGCAGCCACGAACAGCGTCACGAAACCGTACTGGATGACTGAAATAGAGGCGAGTCAGCGACAGGTCACTGGAAAATGAGACACGCATACAAGTCGGTTGCCAGGAAAAACGAGGCACACATACGTAAATGACTCAAGAATCTGCAATGGATAAGTAGCAATACTGCACTAGGGACTCCCACGGAATCGCTGGTAGCATTTTGGCAAAAACAAATCAGAAAGCATTGTCAGAGTCATTAACACACCAAACAGCCCGGTTCAGAACGCACGCATCTTTGAAAACAGCGTCAGAGGCAACATTCAATGACCGCCTCTGATAGCTCGACGAATCTACAGGTTCCCCATTCTTGACTCGGCTATGCCCACGTCGAATGACCATATTCCACTGGCACTCGGACTTATGTGGAATGAGTGGATATTTCACACTAACACATTACTTTACTACACATTAATTACATTACTACACATTACATTACTACACATTAATCCCGGTGGGCCTGGTACTATCAGTGGAAGCTCACCCATCTCGAGGTATTCCTCAAACAGGGAGAGGGTGTCCAGACCCTGCAGGTCATGGTCCTGTTCCCAGCGTGTGTAGAGCTCTTTAGTATCCTCCACTTTGTTCAAGGACGCTCTCGCGCGCCACCAGTTCATTATTTTCCTGCAGTGCGAAAAACAGCACGGTCTTTAATACCACGCTGTGTGTCAGACCGTGCTAGGCAGTAGTTCAACCTAACCGTTCCGTACTCGGTGGCGTGTCCACGTTCTTCACATGGCCATTCGCCGCCTGATCATTCCCCAGGGCATTCATAATCCTGGGCATCAAATCATAATAAAAATCAATCCATAATCATCATCCCCTACATAGCCACGCTCACGGCATACCTGTTGGAAATGTATCACATGGTATATATATATATATATATATATATATATATAACAAATATTTCTGCGTATCGGTTCAAGTGGGTGCGCAATTATATTTATCAAAACACTTCATGAAGACCTGATATGCGTAATGGATGTTGTTGTTGGTTGGAGTTTTAGGGCGCGCCTATGCATAATGGATGATAAAACATTTAATGAGTACCTGCAATACCTGGGGACTACTGGAAACATTTGAGTTCGGAGCGGTTTACACCACACGTGCATTCGTAGCATATGCACTAGCTCCCGATTAGCGCAAATAATACCCACTACACACGACAATATAGTCCAGGCGGCAACGTCTTCTGTAAACCCCACAAACCGAGGAAATGGTCGGCTATTCCGCTGTTATGGAGAGGCGTATCATATAATCACCATGCCAATGGCAATGCATAACGGGGGAGCGCATCAGCCGCCGCTCTGGTGCCATTAGCAAATGGCGTGCCGGGCCATAGTGGACAGCACGGAGCGGGCGGACCGCCGGCCGGCCGACCACAGGACCCAATGAGGACGCCATCACTCACCGCGCCTGACCGGGCGAGCGCCACAATCAGACTGGTCCTAGTGGAGGACGGGGCAATGGCCTGTGCAGCCAGGTGAGCACGCGCCGAGAGGCCTCCGCCCGATCAATAGACCGCGCGTCCCCTTTGGGGGCCAGGTGATGGGACAGGGTGGGAGTGCTGAGTTCGGATGTGATGTCTGACCAGGTACACGCTATAATGGGAGAGGGTGGGAGTGCTGAGTTCGTATGGGATATCTGACCAGGTAAACGCTATGATGGGAGAGGATGGGAGTGCTGAGTTCAGATGGGATATCTAACCAGGTAAACGCTATGATAGGAGAGGATGGGAGTACTGAGTTCGGATGGGATATCTGACCAGGTACACGCTATGATGGGAGAGGATGGGAGTGCTGAGTTTGGATGGGACATCTGACCATGTACACGCTATGATGGGAGAGGGTGGGAGTGCTGAGTTTGGATGGGACATCTGACCAGATGCACGCTATGATGAGAGGGGGTGGGAGTGCTGAGTTCGTATGGAATATCTGACCAGGTACACGCTATGATGAGAGGGGGTGGGAGTGCTGAGTTCGGGTGGGATATCTGACCATGTACACGCTATGATGGAAGGGGTGGGAGTGCTGAGTTTGGATGGGACATCTGACCAGATGCACGCTATGATGAGAGGGGGTGGGAGTGCTGAGTTCGGGTGGGATATCTGACCATGTACACGCTATGATGGAAGGGGTGGGAGTGCTGAGTTCAGATGGGATATCTGACCAGGTAGACGCTATGATGGGAGAGGATGGGAGTGCTGAGTTCGGACGGAATATCTGACCATGTGCACGCTATGATGGAAGGGGTGGGAGTGCTGAGTTCAGATGGGTTATCTGACCAGGTAGACGCTATGATGGAAGAGGAGGGGATAGCTGAGTTCGGACGGGATATCTGACCATGTACACGCTATGATGGAAGGGGTGGGAGTGCTGAGTTCAGATGGGATATCTGACCAGGTACACGCTATGATGGGACAGGGTGGGAGTGCTGAGCTTGGATGGGATATCTGACCAGGCATACGACATAGAGTAGCTGCTATGATGGACAGCGGAAAACGTCGTCAGCCTGCATAGGACGAACGAGGCGCTTAGCAGGATACGAGGTACTGCACTACAATTATGCCACCTTATGCTGGAGCCAGAAGATAGATAAGTCCCACACCACACACTCTCAACACACCGTCTTCGATTCATCACCATTAACAAAAGCTTACATGACCCAATATACCCGTCACCAAACCGTGCAAGCCCTCCACAGATCGCCCTTTCAAAAGCACCCTGATGTCACAGGTATCTTCCTCGAATATTCCACCGCATGGTTCTCGCTCCGCCTGGCGGGGGTGGCGGGCCCACACTCACGGGAACAGGATCTCGATGAAGTTGCTGAGGACCTGCTTGCCAACCATGATGATGGCCAGCTGGATGCACAGCTCGAAGAGGCAGCCGGCCGGGTCGCACACGTCCGCCTGCGTCTGCACCAGCACGTTTTTGGTGTCGCCCGCCTGGCCGGGGTGCGTGTAGAACCGGTTCTGTTGGGGCGAACACGGTCGAGTGAAGCGTCAGTTGGGGCACGCACGACGTTGATACATGTAAGACGTTGCTTCTATGTGTGAGCCGACGGATCACGGCGGGCTTTCAGGAAACTGCGTCGTCGGGAAAGATATAAAAATGTCACTGGTGGAGAAAATCTGCAGCAAAGCTACCAAGTGAGGGAAGTTTCTCTCGCTCGGCTGCTAGGTCCGCGAAATACCAAACGTTAACGTCATACGTCCGTCACAGGTACGCGACGGCGTGGCAGCGAAGGACCTACAGTAACGGCGCAACAGCGCAGTAGCAGCAGAGTCGATAGATCACTTGCATACGACTCGAGGGCAGCGAAGCTGGGCCAGGTAAGCGAAGTTGCAGCATTGTCAGACTTCGAGCGTTTTCAAGCGTGTGGCTCTGGTCAGAATGCCAACGCCGAATACCCTCGAACTATGTGGTTGGATTTTAGCTCAACAGGCGCTCTTGCCTACGGCGGCTTAAAATGGGAAGGAACAGTGATGAGGGTAGAGACAAAATAGCACGGGAGTGACTCCTAAATGGCTCATCAAAAACAAGCCTGCACAGACTATGTCGGTGTAGCTGAAAAAAGTTGGTTGGTAGAGGTGAGCTGAACAGTGGGAAAACACCCAGTGATCATCAAATTACATCCAAGTAGGATTTCTCCACGGATTTAGCACCTTCGCTTCTCAAAGTTAGGTGTGGGAGAGCAAACCTCGCGCTTGAGACATCTGCACTTGTGTATGAGCGTGTCAAGTACGCACCACTAGACGTCGCAGCATTCGCGATGCTACTCGACGCAGGTAACGTGACAGGGGAGTGTCTCACAAAACAAGTTGGCTGGGGGAGATAGCAGTTAACATTTATGAAACTCACCTCAAAAGTGCGCCACCAAACGTGTCTTTCGGTGGATTTGCCCACTGTCTCCGCAAAGTTTGGAGGCTAGAGTCCAAGTGTGTGTGTGGGGCACTACTGAATAGAAAACTAGGCATCTGCAACGGAGCACTACTGAATAGAAAACTAGGCATCTGCAACGGAGCACTACTGAATAGAAAACTAGGCATCTGCAACCTGAGGCCGATGGCCGGCGACTTAAAACAGGGAACACAAGTGATTCATAGCCCTCGCCCTGATTCGCCGTTTTTCGTAAGTTGGACTGATAGCGGGTGGTCGATGCGACAACACCCGCCCGCAGCCTTTTCCAAACTAAGAAAGATAAAATCTGGAAAAAACACCAGTGGATTATTTTCAATGAGATTTCGCGATTGGCGATAGTTGTGTTGTTGTTAACTTGATATTTGATCGCATTATGTCAAGTCAAAAGTCAAATTTTCCTACGCATGGAATCTGGTCAGCTGTAAATGCTGATGTTCACGAGATCATACCCTGTAGTGGCACGAAACTAACACAGGTGTTTTTTGTGTCATTCGTAGTGTGATGTTGTGCAGTTGTGTGTGTTTTTAGCGTATAGCTATGATGTATGACTCAGTTGATGTAACACTGAAGCCCCGCCGCATGCGACCCGCGGAGTCGACTGCCGCCCACCGCCCGCGGAATCGCCGACTGCCGCCCACTGCCCGCGGAATCGTCGACCGCCGCCCACCGCCCGCGCCAGGCTATAGATCGCCTGTGAAATGTTTCACATTCTAGAGCACGAAAGCACGTCTTCGTTCTACATTGCACATTTGGAAAGCCAGAGCTCCGGATTCGCTTCACCGCGGTGCCCGCCCTTCTTGCCAGGCTGAGAGGGAGGCGACGCCATATAGCCTCAGCATCCTGCCACGGACGCTAAACTGTCCCGCCCTTCCCGCCAGGCTGAGAGGGAGACGACGCCATATAGCCTCAGCATCCTGCACCGGACGCTAGCCTGTCTAGTTCTGTCATGTTGCTGCCTATCCTCCATCACCTATCGTCTGGCTGTCGTTTCATGCGCAGTGATGGCGGAGCCTTTATGGACATTGGGGGACGGAAAATATGAGTTTTGCCCCGTTCTTTGCATATGCTTTATGTCCATTTGTCAGATCCCCCGACCATTTTGTCCACAGAATGATTGCTTTTTTAATCCTTCACCTCAAAATGTCCTTTCCAGTTCAGGTCGTCTGCATTCCAGCTTCAACCCCCCCCCCCCCTCCTCAATCCTGATCGTCCCCACGATCCAAGAGTCGTGATTACGTCCATGCCCAAGAAAACCTAAAGGTATCCCAGTCCCCACGATCCAAGAGTCGTGATTACGTCCATGCCCAAGAAAACCTAAAGGCATCCCAAAGTACGTTAACTTAAACATATGTTTCAATGCCTGTTAACTTTTTCATTCTTTCGGCTTCCTGACTCATTCTTGCCCTGTAACGTTCTGCTTACATGACGTCAGTACCCACTTCTTTATGCATGCCACTCCTGTGTTCAATGCGGTAGTTGATTAGGAGTACAGTAAGAAAACATTTCCAAGATACCAGTTATGCGGTAAATTTTTGTCACGTGTGGCGTTCTCATGTGGTCCGGAGTAAACACGCGGGCAGGAGCCATGAATAAAACAGAAGAACCATGATTTTAGAGAATCTGTGTCCTGTTGTGGCTGAAAAGCCTACATAGCTTTTGGTCAATTGGTTTATGTGTATAACTTTTGACAGTTACCTTTTGTAATAAGCGTGTTCTTGTTTGCTACAAAATCATAGACGTTTGGTTGATAGAGAAAACCCAGGCATCATGAAAATCCGTACTACCAATCCGTACAATCCGCACCATCCGTAAATCAACGAAAAAAGACGCTCAAGACCCGTTAACTGGTCCCATGATGAGCGTGCATAGTTACGCTAAATCAATTCGGTGGGATGAGCATACATATGGCAAGCCCGCTGCTCACGCTGGGTTTATTCATGGCGTGGTCCTTGCTTGTGTTATATAAAACGTTAGAAGGGCAAGCCGAAACCTGCAGAACGGGCCTAGACAAGGAGTAAGGGGACGGACTGCAGTCCACCAGCTCTGTGTAGGAAACCTGCAGAACGGGCCTAGACAAGGAGTAAGGGGACGGACTGCAGTCCACCAGCTCTGTGTAGGAAACCTGCAGAACGGGCCTAGACAAGGAGTAAGGGACGGACTGCAGTCCACCAGCTCTGTGTAGGAAACCTGCAGAACGGGCCTAGACAAGGAGTAAGGGGACGGACTGCGGTCCACCAGCTCTGTGTAGGAAACCTGCAGAACGGGCCTAGACAAGGAGTAAGGGGACGGACTGCGGTCCACCAGCTCTGTGTAGGAAACCTGCAGAACGGGCCTAGACGAGGAGTAAGGGGACGGACTGCGGTCCACCAGCTCTGTGTTACGGAATTACGAAATACGAAAAAAAACTGCTACGGAATTCGATGCCGATTATCCCTTTACAGATAAAACGGGGCATTCAAACTCAGCCAGCGCAGCATGGTTTTGCGGGCTCGGTTACACGGCCATTAAATAGCTCAGGTTTGTGTTGCAAACCTGGAGCTAAAACAAGAATGTACCTACTCAAAGGGCCAACCAGAATTTTGGTAGGATGAGGGGGGGCACAGGGTTGCCAAGGATTGTGCACACTCCTGATGGTGAAAGGTCTCAAAAACAACAAAAAACGTAATCGCCGGAGATAGGCCTCTTCATTTGATCGGCGCCATTATTTTCATTGTTTCATTTTCAGCTCCAAATGACAGTACAAAGTAATCTATAGGCTATTCCTTAAACAGGGATTCAGTGAACTCTTTCTAGGCTGATTGAATTCAAAGGTTCTGCCAGAATTTGTATGGGTACTACAAGAATGATGAGGGTCCAGAAAACGTAAATCAAAGATCTAAATCTGGTCACAAAGTTTAGTTAACAAGGCACATGGATATATATATATATATATGCGTATATAAACATGAAATTTGATATATCCAGAGCACACAAGTCAAAAAGAATTGGGTACCTAGTACAATATGTCGGTTGCCAGTGTCTACTAGTCAGTGTAAAAGGGCGAATCGAGTTAGCTTAGACCTCAACATCGCAGCAGTGGGCCTCAGTGGTTGTTTAGGGCGGTGATGTAGAGGACGGTGAAATTAGTTTATGTTTCAGGTTTTCCAATGCTTGTTATTCTGAATGCGTAGTCCGAGAGTTTTATTTAAGCGTAGGAGGTTTTACTTTGACCGCCAATTTAGCACAAATTCCGGGGTCACGTACCTTGAAGAACGCGATGTATACGAGAGAGGAGTAGTAGTTGACAAATTGGAAAAAGAACATCTTGAATGTGAAGCTGTCTTCGTACTCCGTTTGGGTGCGAGGGTTTTCCAGGTTTGTCAGCCACACTGCCACCTTCCTGTACAGCTGTGAAACGAAGCCAGACACCATGTTAATTGTCAAATGAGGCCTCGCCTGGTGTATAGCACCGAAACAATGCCGCATGTGAATTGACCGTGATAAGATCTCAATGAAAGCCGAACAGCCGGCGACAGGCACTGCCGATTCTATAATGTCTTTTCATGTGCTCGTCGCATTAAATTGTGCCTGGAATCGCATGCGACTGGCCATTTCGAGCCCGGCCTGTAGATTATTCAGGTTACGGACATTGTACCCAGGGGAATCCCAGGGAAGTAGTATTCAGCCTCTATAGCCTGGCATGAGCGGACGAGAAAACAGCTCAAAGTAAGAAGACATCTTCAGCGCGGTCCAGAGCATAATGCATGCGCGGCTCAGTACACGACACACGCACGACCACAAACACAGCTGAACCACGAGCCCTTCAGGTTACGACTCACAATTCTGCACCTATGCCACGCAGCGGCCTGTGCGTGCGGGTGCGCGGCATCATTTACGCACTCGTGCACCCTCCAGGCCCGTATCACACCCCTGCACACAACCGCCGCCCGGAACCCTGTCACGAGTCAGCGCGTCAGGCGAGCGTCCTGCCGCCGTCCCCTCCCCTCCCCCTCCCCGGTAACTGGGCGCCGTTCGACAGCGAAGGAGCGGTCACGAGACGGCACCGGTGCCGTGAGCACGCACGCGGCCTTACACCGCGTCGGCACTGGTATTGATCGCCGTACACGCCTGGGTGGTGACGCGGGCGCGGCCGATGGAGTGCACAGCCGCAGCTGATCACCACAGGCTCACCAGCACCGGGCGAGCGGAGGTGTTAGCGGCCCGGCAGCGCTGCTAGCGTTGCAGTCCTCATGGCTACGTGCCGGAAGGGAAGCTGGGATTTTATGTTTTTTTTAAATGAGACATACTTGGTGGCAACTGAGAGGCCCCAGCTGCGTTTTTTTAATTGCTGCAAAGTTGGTGCTTATCCTCATTTGCTGTGATTTCATGTGATTGCTTTGCTTTTTTCAAAGGAAAGCAAAACAATCATTTCAGCCAGTCCTAAAAACACCACGCTGCTAGGAAGCCCTGGCGATAAGTTAGGGATAATTGGGGAGCTCCAGCCGACAACAATGTGCAATTGCTTCAGTCGATAGAGTAAGAATGTCACGCAGAAAGTGAGCGGACTCAGTTCGAAAAAAATAAAGCTATCTGCAGCAGCCACAGTTTGCACATATTTTGGCAGCTTCCTATCCCGGCATGCAACAATCACCTTGTCTGATTTCCTCAGCATCTCCATGGCTCTCAAGACATTTCAACCTCAGTGTCCCTTTTTACAGGACATTTTGACTCGCTTGATGAGATTGGTCGGAGTGGGCAAAACTGTAATGCTATGCTGGATTCCAGGCCATGTAGGGATAGCGGGCAACGAATTTGCCGCCGCCGCTGCAAAGCAGGCCACTCGTGTGCTTGGCACTCGTCCTCTTTCGCTTCTAGCTAGGAATTTTTACCCAATCATCACAGCTTATTTAAAAAGAAAATGACAACCTTGCTGGAACGACGAACGGGGTCGCGGAGATCTCAAGGTCCTCGTGCACGTGACGCAAAGGAGAGGTACTTCGGTCCGGAGCGGCACCACAGTCCGGGGTCGCGGAGGCCGCAAAGTGCGCGTGTGCGTGACTTGCTGGAGAGTCATCCCGGTCCGGAGAGGCACGACAGTCCGGGGTCGCGGAGGTCACAAACTGCGCGTGCGCGAGACTCCCTGGAGAGTCATCCCGGTCCGGAGAAGACCACAGTCCGGGGTCGAGGAGGTCACAAAGTGCGCGTGCGCGAGACTCCCTGGAGAGTCATCCCGGTCCGGAGAAGACCACAGTCCGGGGTCGAGGAGGTCACAAAGTACGCATGCGCGAGACTCCCTGGAGAGTCATCCCGGTCCGGAGCGGCACCACAGTCTGGGGTCGAGGAGGTCACAAAGTGCACGTGCGCGGGACCCCCTGGAGAGGTATCGCGAGGCTTGAATTGGCCATCAGCGAGCATATCGCAGTGGATGGAGAGCAACTGGTGTACATAAACTAATTGATTACTGTCAACTTTGTAGTTATCCCTGTCAGCTCTATCAGCTTGGTTGGCCCTGTGGACGCCGCCGACGTGTCAACGTCTGGCTGCCTGTCTTTCGTGTGACAGATTACCGGGAACCCTCGAACACCATACACTGTAACGCACGTTGGACTTGAGTGATTTTAAGTGCTGTGGGCTAGGCTTATCGCCTTATCGTCAAGTCGATTTGTAGAGCCCCGCGCTCTTATCACGCTCGCTCACATCGCAAATGTATTCCAGCTGTGGCTTCGCGCTTAATGCAAAGCAGCACCTGTTACTAGGCATGGTGAACTCATGCCCCCCACGATATCGATTTCAGGGTGCTGGCGAAAAATGACCATTCTGTTTCAATGGAGCCATGCTGTAGTTAAAAGGATGGTTACCATGCTGCTGCGATGCTGCAGCCTGATGTTTTATCAATGCTGACCGATGAAAAGGCTACAAACGATTTGAGAGCAGCACGTTCGTTCCGCGGTCTTCATACTGGCTGCATCCCTATTCCGCAAATGATTAGGTATATGAACAACCGCTGCCGCTGCCGACAACCTCAGTCCAGGTCAATTCACTGATTGCTGTCGGGTGTCGTTTGACCTTGAAAAGGAAACCTTTATGTATATATCTTGCTGAACGGTATTAACCACCTCAGTTCGCCAGTCACTGCCTGGCGGTTTAAAGCGCATGTTTTTATGCATATGTCAGCGGTTACCTGCGAACATATTGCATTGCAAACGCATATAGATACAAGACACATGTCGGCCATTTGAGGGCCATGACAATTCGGTAGTTCATTCTTCTCTCCAAACCAAAATGTCGTTCTAGAGTTTCTCGTCGATGACATGCAACATGCATGGTTATCATGCAGAGCATCACCAGGCATAGCATCATCCATGCTTTGTCTATGGGGTCCCTGATGGTGGTAACATCTGGTAACTCGATCAGCAATGTTGATGATGCGACATTAAGTCACATTTGTTACTCTATTTTCCTCACTAATGTATTTATTGTGACCTACGACAACGGCATCTGCGGAAACGCCCGTTCGAAAGTAGGTCAACGTGACTTGATGGGATCATAGCCCGGAGATTCCCAGAAATGAAACGTAAAGACGCTCTCATTACCGTCATGGACCGCATGCTAAATGGTTATTGAAATCTTGAACTTAATGGGTTTCGAAATAGGTCTTTGGAGCATGCATGTATGCATACATACATGCAAATATATATATATATATATATATATATATATATATATATATATATATATATATATATATATATATATATATATATATATATATATATACTCGCACATATATAAAGTCAATGAGGGGGTCAGAAGGATGTGAAAACACGGTCAGATGGTTCGAGGCAGTCAAAAGGCACCAGGTAGACTCCATGAAGTTGACTACCAGATCGGTACACGAACACCATCGTCCACCAGCTACGGAACGGTAAATGCCAGTCGAAACGTGCAAGTCATGCCAAAAATTAAAGCGGTCGTTAGGATGGAGCCTACCCACGATATATCTGGTGACACAAACATGTCTTCAAGCAGCTCAAAAAGGCAGACAATGTTTTTTTTAATCAATGAGAAGTTGAGTTTTGAGACTGTGGAGGACTCTAGGTGTCCAGATGCCGCTTGATACTTGTAAAAATCCGGAGAAGAAGGCCGAGCAAAGTTCGGAGATAGGAGTTCAGAAAACTCGCAGTCCATCCGGGACTAACAAAGCAAACATTTACGGGGAAGTATAGAATACTGAAAGTAATAGCATCGATCTGCTGAGTAGCGTGGGATCGGAGTGGTCGGAACCTCTGGTTTTGCAGTAGCAGTTATCGGGAGGTCAGGCTTCATTATTCATTCACCCTGCTGATTTGCAGGAGCTCAAGGGACTACCGTGGCGTTCAGACCTAAGCCGTGAGCCTCGCTCTCCTGATGGCCCTGACCATGACGGGTTAGCATGACGGGCATGTAGAGTTGGCTCTCCTGATGGCCCTGACCATGACGGGTTAGCATGACGGGCATGTAGAGTTGGCTCTCCTGATGGCCCTGACCATGACGGGTTAGCATGACAGGCATGTAGAGTTGGCTCTCCTGATGGCCCTGACCATGACGGGTTAGCATGACGGGCATGTAGAGTTGGCTCTCCTGACGGTCCTGACCATGACGGGTTAGCATGACGGGCATGTAGAGTTGGCTCTCCTGATGGTCCTGACCATGACGGGTTAGCATGACGGGCATGTAGAGTTGGCTCTCCTGATGGTCCTGACCATGACGGGTTAGCATGACGGGCATGTAGAGTTGGCTCTCCTGATGGTCCTGACCATGACGGGTTAGCATGACGGGCATGTAGAGTTGGCTCTCCTGATGGTCCTGACCATGACGGGTTAGCATGATGGGCATGTAGAGTTGGCTCTCCTGATGGTCCTGACCATGACGGGTTAGCATGACGGGCATGTAGAGTTGGGCATGTATAGCATGACCCTTATGAAGTGTCACTCGAAAGGTGACGGACGCTGATACATGGAATACAGCCTTTTCATCTCGAGCTTGGGCCACAACTACTTTAAATAAGTCATATTAAGCCCCGAGAACGTGACCCGCCTAAAGCCCTTTTAAAAAGTTCTCCTGTTGGAAAGGTGCAGTTATGGATTGCACATTTTTAAACAACACAGCTTGCAGGTGATTCTTTGCTCGTAGAGACAGCAAGAAATCCAGCACCTGTACCGTACCTGGTTCATGATGACATTGCTGGTGAGGGTAAACTGTGTGTACATCGTTCATGATGATAATTCTGATAAGATTAGGCTGTGCGTACCTGCTCACGATGATAATGATGAGTTTAGAGGATGTGCGTGTACGATTCACGATGATAGTGATGAGTTTAAGCTGGGCACATCTGCTTCATTAGGACCATGTGAGCATGATGACGATGATGATGAGGCTGAGCTGTGCGTACCTGGTTCATGATGACAATGATGATGAGGTTAAGCGTAGCGGCCGTCATAGACGTGACGATTTTGGAGCGCTTCAGCCAGAACACGTCCCTGGTCTGCTGGAACATGGTGGTGACGGCCAGCCGATAGACAATGACGCCGAACACTGCCGCCACCACCAGCATCAGCTGCAACAGCGAAGGCAAACGGGGCACCGTTAGCCGTTTTTCGGGGTGTCGTTAGCCGTCTCTCGGGGCGCCGTTAGTCGTCTCTCGGGGCGCCGTTAGCCGTCTCTCGGAGCACTGTTAGCTGTCTCTCGGGGCGCCTTTAGCCGTCTCTCGGGGCGCCGTTAGCCGTCTTTCGCGGCGCCGTTAGCTGTCTCTCGGGGCGCCGTTAGCCGTCTCTCGGGTCGCCGTTAGCCGTCTCTCGGGGCGCCGTTAGCCGTCTCTCCGGGCGCCAACGATCCAGAGACGGGACAGGCCAGCGCCACCAGATACCAAGTCACATGTGAAACGAGTCATCGCCATCCACAAAGGGTAGACGGCCTGGAGATTACGCTGCAAAAATCGACGTCATCCATCGTTCAGTTTGGCTGCCTACCAGTCAGAATCAGTCAGAATATACGAGGTCTTGCCACGTCTCCTTTATGTCGCGCTTGGCTATGGTGAATGGGTCGTCGACAACCTAGCACATGTCAAAACCAATTATTTATGTTCGTTATGTGAGCTGAAAGAAAAGCTGATCATGTCCGAATCAGACGGCTTGACTTTGACCTGACGTGACCACGTCCTGAACCGACTATAGCTCTTAGCCTTTGTTAGCACTGTAATAATTGTGAGATAAACATAATAAATGCTCTTTCGTTTGGTGCTAGTTATAAAGTGGACCGAAACCAACATTCCGACCTGTATTACATCTGCAATGCTATCGCAATACTATACCGGTGCGGAATAATTCGGAATGATTCGGAACGCTAGATTCAGAATGCTACCTCCTGTAAGCTTTAATCGGAATGCTATGTTGGGAACGCTATATCCGGAATGCTATATTCGGAACGCTATACTCGGAATGCTTTATCCGGAATGTTATATTGGCAAGGCTATATTCGGAGTGCTATGTTCGGAACGCAATACTGGGGACACTTTGTTCGGAATCTAATATTGGAACGCGATATTCGGAATGCTAGAGAGTCCTCAAATCGTTCCAAGATTTTGACAATTTTCCAATCATTTTGTGCTATGTGTGATGTCATTAGTCATTTGCCGGATGACAATCCAACGATCGATAGAGAGATTGACTGAGGCTGTCGCCCGCTAACGGCGTAGTTGTTTTTGGGTCCGATATTAGAACCTAAGATACCAGCGGTGGCTTCTTTCTCTGCAGGCAGCCGCGAGTGCCGTCATTAGTACACCATGCGATAACAAGCTTTCAAATGACAGACACACCGCAGCAGCTACGCAAACCATTCGCGAAGCTTGTACATGAGACGGAGAGGTAAGTCGTCGATGCTGTTGAGCTCCGTGTGATTCTGGTGTGCGTACCATGAAGATGATTATGGTTCCGGACGCCAACGTGCGCCAAACTTTGCTGGATGCGGTCATGTAGGGCTCTTCCTCCTTCGAGACCGGGTTGATGCGGAACGAGGTGGCCTGTGGAAGCAAGAGCACAAACAGCAACAGCGTCATCGACCGGCTCAACCTACAGAACGATTCGATCATTAATAATCCGGTCATCAATAGCAGCCTGCATTGCCGTATTGGGATTGTGTGGCACACCGTCATACCTGGCCAAAGGCCTGCTAATAATGAGTGCCAGCGCGGCGACCAGTTCGATTTTGCTCAGCTCATTCAAGGCCATCAAGCATTGGCTCTATCGATTGGTATTACTGCTGCCGCGCGGGCAGGCAGGGCAGCGAGGAAGGAGGCCGGGGGCTCAGGCTCACCTTGACCTCAAACTCGGGTCGCGCGTCCTCCTCGTCCTCGTAGTTGGCCAGGTCCCACTCCCACGCTATCACCGCCTGTCTGCGCTTCCAAAACTCCAGGAACATCGTTGCTGGAAACGGCGATAGCGCTGCAGTTTGTCGCCATCCTGGCACTTCAGACGTCAAGTGAACCCCATGATGTGCCGATGGTACAAACTGGTGGTCTCCACGACGCGGAGCTGTGGTGAATGATGCGCGCAAGACCTGATGTCATTTACAAATATTTTTGACTTTATAGCGGTAAGGACCAGGAAGCAAATGCTCAGCATCTAGGAAGAAAGTTTTGATTTGCTCTATGATTATGAGTGTCTTACACTTCGCGAGTTTGGTGCGCATAACATGCGATAGTCGATCCACCACTATCGACAGACCAACTTCTAAGACTTCGACAGACTATCTAATCCAAACCGTCGTCATTAAAATTCATACTGAGGGTCTCATACCAAGGACAAAACTACACTATTTCGATTCCAGGATCAATCATGATACTTTCCCTTCTAAAACGTCGCCTTTAAAATTCACGCTGGGGTTTTCCACAGACAGTCGTCCTCTCTGAGGGCTAAACGATGTGGTTATGAATGCAGGAGGATATGATGTGCCGAACAGACCTTATGCAAATGGATTTTTTATCAGTTAAATTAGTAGAACTGAGACGGTAAAGAGGACTCTTGGTAGACGTAGAAGCAGTAAAAATAACCATAAATTCATTAGCTGCACATATGCCAAAAGAAAATGCTCCTATTAAACTTGATATACTCCTGCGTTCTGCATACTCAGCGTAAGACGCTCAGCGTCGAATTGCAGTGCCGTCCGGCTGACACGTGAACATGCTGTTGATCTAACCTTCCATAAAACTGCTGGCTTGCGTCCAGTCTGGAATGCGACTTTTCTGTTTGCTCCTGAAGTGACATTTGCCAGGCAAACAGCGCTGCGGCCCATGCTCCCGGCAGGACAGCACACGGACGCGTCAAACCAGCTCCGCAGTCAATACAGGTGCCCCAAGGTCAACAGGGACGGCCCGCCGCGCGCCCGCCTCGACAGGCTCCCATTATCCGCGACGGGCCATTGTCAACGCACATTGATTTCCCATGAGTGCGCCAGACAGCGTTGCAACGTCGTGATGACGTCGGTCCAGACAAAGGCCCCCTCGCTGGGGTGCCGGCCCCCAAAGGAGTCGGCTGGGTGGGGGAGGGGGCGGAGGTGGCGCTGCGGGATACTCCAGTGTATTGGTCGGATCGACCGCCGTCGGCCGCCGACCGCCGGCAGCGTGGGCAGACGACTCGGGCCCAGGATCCCGGCCACAGAAGGACGATGCCAGTGCTGGTGACAGACACTCCTCGCCGGCTGTAGAGACCGGCACCCATGCCTGTACACGGGCCGGCGTCAGAGCACACACCAGCGCCGCCATCCACGCCATGTATTTTGAATTCGTACATGAAGAAGTGAATACATCTGTTATACGCCCAAGGACGGTTCCACTGAATCAAACATGCAGGGTTCACGGTACTGGTCCTGCCCCCACCCCCGTCATCAGCCCTCTGCCCGGGCCCCGAGATCAGCCCTCTGCCCGGGCCGCAGGGTCAGCCCACCGCCCGGGCCCCTGGGTCAGCCCTCTGCCTGGGCCCCGGGGTCAGCCCTCTGTCCGTGCTCCGTGATCAGCCCTCCGCCCTGGCCCTGGGGTCAGCCCTCTGCCCTGGCCCCGGGGTCAGCCCTCTGCCCTGGCCCCGGGGTCAGCCCTCTGCCCTAGCACCGGGATCAGCCCTCTGCCTGGGCCCCGAGGTCAGCCCTCTGCCCCGGCCGCGGGATCAGCCCTCCACCCGGGCCCCTGGGTCGGCCCTCTGCCCGGGTCCGGGGTCAGCCCTCTGCCCGGGCCCCAGGGTCAGCCGTCCGCTCCAGCCCCGGGGTCAGCCCTCTGCCTCGAGCCCGGGATCAGCCCTGCGCCCCGTTTCCGCAGCTCTGGTGTGGGCTCCCAGCGTGAGCAGCCACCAGCTAAAGCCCGCTCCAACAAGCTCATGCGGTTGGCTGGGGGCTCACCGAACATCGCGCGGCAAGGAGCAGGCTCCGTGCGCTTGGAAACCGCCGTCATAGCAGAGCGATTTCAACCTGACGGGTAATTTTACACCGACATTTTGGTACCTGCGCGTCGTGAAATGTCACGACATGTCGAACTGCGCCATGGAATCGTTGCGACACGGACTCACTTTGCCATAATCCTACGGCACTGCCGTCGCGTGTTATGCAACACCGAGCAACGGACGCTTTGAGAAGTGTAGTGCTGCGGCAGAGAAACTGCGTGCTGTAGGACACTGCGCCGCTGCTGGTCCGCGCGGAACCGCGCCACGAGAGGGTTGCTACCTGCCGTGTGACGCTACGTCACACGGCTGTTCCGTGCCGCGCACTGGCGCGATAGGGCCGCTCTGTGACAGGATGGCCTTGCATCGTTAATTGCCAGGTAACTTGCTGAACGAGTGCATGGAATTAAAGTGAAGGCCGATGGACACGCAGCCTATCTTGTCGATAAGGCCCAGTGTTGTAGTTGCCGGCGACCTTGACCTTCCCCGAAAGGCTGAAGGCCGGCTCGACCACCGGTCCTACTTTACTGGCGCTGCGAGGTCGTGTGATGAACTGCCGGCGTCACCACGCGGTGCGTGCACAGGGGTCATCATCGCGGGTCACTTGAACGCCAGGCGGCCAGGACGGCTTCACAGTTTACGGTGGATCGCTTTGATAACCAGACACACAGTTCACAGTGCTGATACTGGCTGTTGGTGCCCGTGAAGTATGCTAGCGGTGTCGGTACACATACAGTAGGTGAAGTATGCCAGCGGTGTCAGTACACGAGCAGTGCGTGAAGTATACCAGCGGTGTCAGTACACGAGCATAATGTGAAGTATGCCAGCGGTGTCGGTACATATACAGTACGTGAAGTATGCCGGCCATGTCAGTACACGAGCAGTACGTGAAGTATGCCGGCCGTGTCGGCACATGTGCCGTGCGTGGCTCGATACTTAAAGAAAAATTGGGCCCTATTGCTGCTGTTATAGGCCTTGATAATCCCGATTTGGTCGATACTTGCTACATATGGGCAGCAATAATGCAATCATAGTCACAAAGATGTATGACTGCCTGTTGGTCATGAAATATGCATGTTAATATCACGAGTATGTGTACCGAAATGGTCAACGAATGCTGGATAAAACGCAGTGAAGCACATCCAGTAACAGCTAAACAGAGACATTCCCAAATGTTCCTCAATCCATATCATATCAATGCCGTGAAGAGTTCTGTTTTCTTTGCGGAAACCGTTCGCTTCCCGATCCAATGGAAGTAATGTGTAATGACGAGTTCAATTGCAAAAGCGGTTGGCAAAGCTCTTACGAAATCTCATGGGAATGTGTGCTTTAGAAAGGGAGCCGCTCTGACCCTGACTAAGCGTTCTTGGCGAGCTAACAGCTATGCATCCCGCATGCATCTTGGATACAGAATGGTCTCATCTTTTAATAAATGTGCCGTACCCTATACGTGGATGGTTTGTAATAGATAACTAATAATACCAAAAAACCTGCAACCGAAAGCATGTCTTGTTCATATTAAGTACAACAAGTCAGCTAACTGTACCTGCTGCGTGAATGCATTTAAAGCCAGCCCGGCAGCATATCAACTATCCTCATTTTCAGCTGGCCACATATCTGGTGACATCAGCTTACGGTGAAACCATGTCCCGCTTGGGTGCGACGCAATGGTCACAGAGCGTGGAACTGTGCCAGACGTAGGTGTCCGGTACGCCTATCTCGCCAAAATGTGTCCACCCACATAACGCCAGTCAGCATGAAACAGTGTATCAAATATGGCGGACTCGGATCAGTCCGTCATCGGCTCAGTCCACTCAGTGCGTGAGGGGATGGAACGGCTCAGTCCACTTATTGCGTGAGGGGAGGGGACATGTTTACGCGTGCCGGTACCGGCGTCAATACGGGCAGTATTCCGACGAAGCACGCATGTTATTGGTGTTCGAATCGTTTAGAGGTCCACCACACACGCACATTCACAGAGGAGGAGTACGTGTCGCGGTCACTGAGGACTGGGGTTTTACGAAGCACCCAACTGCAGAGGCTATACCGCACTGTATGCTCTCACCCTGGCGGGAAAGGCGGGCGCCGGGAGGGATCGAACCTGTATTCCTGGTATAGAGGAGCAGTTCTGAACATGAAGAGTGCGCCACAAGTCACCGGCCGCATCTAAGTTACGAGAAGGTGTAATCTCGCAAAGTCATTGTGTAACTAAGCAATTATGTTAATATGTGAGGCGCCCGGTTCGTTGGGCCAAGTCTCCCCAACGGGGTATTTTCCGTTGGATGGTAGTTGTGTAGAGTGACACATTCTCACGCACGCCGCACGAGCCGCCCAGCGCACATGTTGCGCGAATGGGTATATGCTCGGACAGCCGCTGCAAATATCAAATCACTCAGTATGTAGGAAGGTGGATTTACGCGTGCACTTCCTAACCCTGATCCCGAGAGAGCCGAAATGAGGCACGTCTGTAGGCGAGATTCAAATCCTCTAAGGCCTCAGAGTGTCAAGCGTTTTGCGCTGGACGCTGCCCCTTCACCAGCGATGATGTGGGGAACGAGCAGAGGCGTATTCAGGGGACGGGCGGGGTAAAAGTTCCTCGTTGTCAAATTTGGGCATATATAAATATGCCTGAGTAGAAATGTTGACATTCTCAAAATAGAGACAAGCACATCAAAATAAGTAGATTAAAAACACGTGATGTTACACATCATACCAAAAATTTCACGTGGCATTTCACTGTGTTTATGCCTCCGGGCCATTTTCCCCGTGACCTGGCCGAGGTCGCGTGTGCGGACCGGAGCAGCCGCAGACTAGAGGTAGGGACGGCCGGTTGAGGTCGGGGGTTAAATCTGTCCTGCGCAAGTGCTGGGTGTTGTTGCGTATTTAGTATCCGAATCGTGATTCAAATACAAGCTATTTCGGCATTATGGTGACGGGTGTTCCGGACCCGTCTGTGCAAGTCCCGTGATGACCAGCAGGGTGACGCCGACAATTAGTCT